AATTTGACACGCAATTACGCAAGCTTTTACTAAATTAACGAACCTTGTCCATCAGTAAAAAAATGTTCGGTATTAGAAATAATATTCATTGGTTTATAAATTAAAAATTACGGAAAGAAAATTGAAATAACATTATTAATTATGGTTCTTATGATTCTTTTAACATGTCAAATTACTTTCAAACCTGCATTTGCATAAAAGGAAAGAGTATCATGTGTTGATTTTTATGAAGTATGATGCCCTACTTAGAGGCATTCCAAAATAAATTTTTTGTATAGTTATCTTTAAAAATTGCACTTGAATTTTAAAAAAACTAACTGCCGTTACTTCCGTGCAGACTGTAAGATTTTTATACATATTAGTTAGAAATTGGTTCATTAATATGTCTTCGATAAAAGCTGAACTCTGTATATACTGTTAAACCAATTCAGAAGTCAGTTTGACGAAAGAATTGAGTTGTACAAAGATCGGGAGCTAGATTGAATAATTTACAGAGAGAAGGTATCACTAAGACTCTGAAAGGTCTTCTATGCTAATCTTTCACGGAGATTGAGCTAATCAAGGGTAAAGGTAAAGTAGAATAATAATAAAAGGTTTACTAACAAAAGATAATTTTTAATTCAAATAATTACTAACACAACCTAAATAAATATTGATATAATTCAATCCACAAAAATAAGGTTTATTCCCAATCGAGAAAGGTAATCACAATTCAATAGCGAAAATCAAATAATCAAAAGAATAAGCATCAACTTTTATGGCAAAAGAGGTTACCGTTAGCTCAAATTTAAATTAAAATAATAGTGAATAATATCCAGGGCTTATGCACGGAAGGTATTATTTTTAGGGATACTATATACAGTGCTAAACGGTAAAGTCTTCGAATTTTGTGAAGCACAAAAGAAATAAAGATACCAATTTCTTTATGACACAAAAGAAATAAAAGACGAAGCGCTGTTAGGTAAAAGTTGAAAATAATTTTATTTAGTTATTTTTCTTCAAGCCACACATTGCCCGTTCTCAAATCTTCGAGAGCTACAGTTTTTGTAACTATCTAAATTACAAAGTACGAATTTAGTGAAAGTTTTACAAAAAGAAATATGATTATGCTTTGGAATAAAAGAAATAAAAATATAAAGTAAAATTATTGTATGCGATACTGAATGTGAATTTAATTCTATAGATCAAGAGGATAGCGTATTATATGAATTTTTCAAAATCTTGGATCACAAAGTAAAGAATTTTCTCAAGAAATTCCAGGATAAGAAAGACTATGACTATAGAGAGCTAGTGACTATGTGGAAGTCAGATTTCTTATGCTTCGTAATAAGTCGGGAACTGAAGACTGCATTGGAAAAGGCAGAGACATTAAGAATTAAGGATTTTTGTAAGAATTTTATGAAGCGGCATCAATGTTAACACTACAAAGGTAAGAATTTTGTATGAGTTCTACTCATGTGATACGAGATAATAGGGATAGTGATACATTAATGAGGGATACAAGCTTAAGAGAATTTTTGTAATCTCAGGATTTACGTTGTGATGGGAACACTGCCATTTTTTTCGTCTCAACAAGTCGAATCGAATGGTAATATTTTTGTTGGAATTAGACTACTGGCTGTTGAGATATTACAAACTCAGTCACTTTAGGACGCAATATAGATTCTCATTAGAATCGGACTCGCAAAAAAAAAGACGAAAAACGAAAAAGTTTTATGAAAAAAATTCTAATGCTTCTAATATACCTGGTTCCTACACCCATTTTAAAGCTGCCGTATTTTCGCGAATAACGCCTATGAACGTCATTTCGAAAATCATACCTTTTAGAAATAGCATACAGTGACATCTTCATAAGTCACGCTCTGGGGACTAGGCATGTACCTGCACTTAGAGAGGTGTGCACTTAAAGAATAATCAATAGAAACCAGATATTATTACACAAATATAATGTTTCATTTCATAGAGACCGAATCAAAATGAACAACATACCGAATGAATGGAATCCCGAATGATTAACATTCTGAAAGCACGAAATCATAATATTGTGACTTTGAATGTTCGGGATTCCGTGTGTCGGGGGATCCTTGTAAATATGAGAAATTAAATCGCACACAATACATGTATAACTATTTATTATAAAAGTTTTACAGTGCCAACTATTTATTTTTATACTATTACAACGCTCTAAGTTTTCCAACCTATATTTTGAGTATGAGCATTGTAGGAACAAAAACCCTCGAAACGAGCATCTTTTGATATATTTTTGATAGTGTTTCGAATAATTTTTTATGTATTTGGTTGATGTAAACTATAATACACATAACAGATTAATGTGCGTACCTGTATCGATGGGATTGATAATATATTAATTTTGAAGTAAAGGATCGATTGACGTAATATTTCATTTGAGTGGATTTCGTGGTTTTTTGCTTATAGACGTAATGTAAAAATGCTTGTTTGCGATTCCATTTCCTCATCAAGTGCTTTCGATTTCTGTTTCTCTATTCTCCATAGATTCTATAAAGTCATCAAGTTTCTCAGCAGTTGGTTTGTTTTCTATAATAAGATCCAAACTTTTTTCAATAATAAATTCGCACCATCTGGGATGTAATATATTATCGTAGGTTATACATGTATATGCCGTGTTGCATTCGAGATAATTTACCATATTTCTGATCTCCAAACAGTCGTTCAATCTCGTACATAAACATTCCACTGCTATAGATATCGATATTGCAACATCAGTAACACCAAAAAAAAATTTTGAGACGAATATTTGGAGGTTTGTTTAACATTAATATAAAAAAATCACGTCATTTAGGCAGATCATAATGAATTTTTTTTTTTAATGAAATTCTAGTGAATAATTGGAACCTCGTTTAATTAAAATATGCATCAATATTGGTTTGTCATATTAAGCTTGTTTTTTTTTGACGCTAATAAATTTCTTAACCTTTTCTGTTAACCGTACATATTCTTTCACGTTGTCCTGTTGGAAAAGAAATCTAAATACATTCTCCAAGCTAGCAATTGCAATGCTAGCGCTAATAATGGGAGGTTCATGATTTCTTCTGGATTCATGTCTTTCATCATCATTATTCCTGAAGAGATATACAATTTCTTTAATCATTTTGGAAATCTCGTAAAGTACATTCTCTTCAGAAATATTAAGAAATTCTTCAACTTCTATCGGATGAGATTAAGGTTTTGCCATGCATTCGCAAGATTATTAAGCACCAAGTTTGATATAAGCAGGAAGAAACTTTGCGTGATGCTAGTAGTTATGAATATTTTCAATATCAACCTTATCCCAGGCTTGGATAGTAACTGAATTGCCTGCAAGACACTTATATTTAAGTTTCTACACATCCACCTGTCTCTACATATTGCAACATTTAACTTTTTAAAAATGATTAGATTTTAAAGACTATACATGTGACAAATTTAGTATAAATATATCTTACCATACATGAAAATGGCGATAGTGAATATGATTATTCCAGCATTCAATGATTGGATTCTTGAGGTAGTATTCATAGACAAAAAATAAATCTCAGTATATTGTAAGATAAGACTGACCAACGTATAGCTGGAATAGTTATCAATCAAGAATAAGTAACACATGCTGTCCTTAATGCTTTAGACCAACTTAATGATTGAATTTCCAAATTCACTCTTGGAAATTGACATGATCATTCAGGCTTCGACATTATTATGGTACATCATAGGCATATTTTGAATGTTTATATTTTAAACAGCATGATTTTTGATATTTATCAATTATAAGAGAATTTAATTTGTGTGTACTATCAGAATTTACACATAATGCAAGTAAAAGACATTCTTTATTCATCATTAGTAAAATTATATAACATCAGATCTGTAGTTGATTGTCACATTTAATGTACATACATATGTTATTTGTTGATTGGTTGATTTATTTAGATTTTTATTTTTACTTTTTTTTCTTGTGAATTACAAAATTCATGTTTTTAAATTTACAGCATGGTAAGTTTTTATTTTGCACTGTGCTATTTTTTATTTGGAAGAGAGAAAGACTATAATATGCTATGTTATGTATGGATGTATTAAAGATTTGATTTTTTTGCAAAAGTTTTTTGCAAATTACTAAAAGAAATCACAAATAATATAAATACATGTGCAGTCATAACTTGTCAGTTGGTCCGACATCCCAACAATCCCCAACGAATACTGAAAGATTTATACAACATAAAATTAGAGCTAGTGCTAGTGTGAGATTAATATAGGCTGAAGCCCGAAGAATTATTGCAAGATCATGATTATAAATGTCGGATTTGTGGATTGTGATTATCAATCACACTCACTCTGATTACGCAGTCATACTTTTTCCCAATTCCAGCTATTGTAAAAGATCTCATGCAGTGTCCTTAAGGTGTAATACACTTAGTAGTAGTACTAAAGATTAAAACCATTTATAAACATTAATATATTTGTTTCTTCAAAACACTGATATATACTAGTTAATATCATTCAAATATAAGTTCTTTATCTACAAAGATATTAATCAAGTTCTAAAGCATATCATTTAAATAGTTAATACATGTATATGTGGGCCAATCCTCGTTAATATGGTATCCAGAAAAGGAAAATCTCGTAACTCAGAATAAACAAATTTATGTATAGCTATAGGAAAATGGATTGTTCGGCTTGTCATATAATCGAGGTAGTCATATTAAGTGCTGTCATATTCGCAAGGGTTTAGCTCTATGTTAATTTTTTATATTGTTAATTTATTCAATAACCAGAAATAAAGTATAAATTATTTTTTTCTAATCAATGCCATACTATTATGAGTATATTTGCTAATAAAAATATAAATTACAATAATATAACTAGTTAAATTTAACGAAATACAGCCTCTATTTTCAAATATACCTAGATTAGAGAAATAGTTGGGAGAAATTTGTATATTTTCGGGATGCGATAGTGTATATATTTACAGTTAATAGGTGAAAAGCTCAATTGAGGAAATAAGTTGATGTTGCCATATCTTCGAAATTTGCTAAGGCTGGTATACATGCATATAAATTTTCCAAGTCGGAAAAATCTTGCTGGTAAGATGTTTGAGGCTGTGAAAATAGTTGTTTATTATTATTGAGATAGTACGGATAGGAATTTTCATAAAAGCAAGGAAACCCGTTCCGTAAATCATTATAAGATTCAGAAGTTGAGGAAGTAATAACTTTTTTACAATAAAAATTATAATAAGTATGCATAATAAATTTTTGGGAGAAAAAGATGCATTTAAGAAATGGCAAACCTTGCACAGAATTCTCCGATGAATTTTTAGCCTTGATCAGCGTTTTGACTTCTTCAAATATACATTTAAAATAGGCCTTTATTTCTTCTGGTGCATTTTTCCATGCTGAACTAGCAATCATAGAGACATAGCATCTTTCCAGTCCATAGCCTTTAAATAATGTCTGGATCAAGCCGCGAAATATTAAAAACGAATTAGGACTTTTGCCCAGAAGTACTTTTTCTTTTTTCCTTAGAATTTCTTTAAATATGTCAGCTGCTTCCGGAATTACGATATATTCATTTAAAATTACTCTTCCTTGGAATCTCGTTTCTAAATATAGTGATTTTGAGTAAGGCTCAAGTGATACATTAAACGTGAGTAGCGAATGTTGTGGCTGTTGTGGTTGCTGTGGTTGTTGTGGTTGCTGTGGTTGTTGTGGTAGTTGTGTTCGTTGTAGTTGATCGCTTTTTGTATCCATGTTGTTTTTGACAATATTTTTAAAAGAATCATTATTATATTTTTTATTCTGTCGTGGTGGCATAATGAAATAATCTTTGTTGATACGCCTATTTTTAAAATTTGTTAGTTGAATATTTTGTATTGAATCAAAATTAAAAGAGAATATAAAAGTAAATTTTGATGAAGAAAAACTTTCGCTCTTTTACAACGAGTTTATATCTTTTTGCGAAGAATCATAATTTTCGAAATTTTTAAAGATTAGATTACATTTGATTATCCAATAAAGCCATTGTAAGTTCATATTGTAATCAGATTACAACTTAAATCAGGTTCTGCATAAATGAAATAATCCAAGTGTCTTAAACCATGGAAAATGGAAGGTTCACACTGTTTACCTGACAGCCCGTTGATAATGTGTTCATAGAAATACGCTAATTAAGAAAAGCAGAAAAGTTAATAGTTAAAATTCTGTGACAGACTTCTCCAAAGGAAACACCACTGCTTCGGATTAAGTACCCCTTGTATCTGAACGACGCAAAGATTTCCGACACATGTCATGCGTATCGAACAAACACAGATATTGATATACATGTACATGTACCTGACTGGCACAAAAAATTCTTTGTATTATTATCGTTAGTCTATTTGAGTTATTTATGCGATTGGCATATCAAAACAACCTCAAAATTCTCAAAATCGGTGTTTATTTACCGTAGAATACAAAACTTTCAGCCGATCTTTGTAACGATAACGCGCGGAATATTGGAACTTTCCCGTTATAATGTATATCGATATCCGATATGTAAATGAAAATCAGATAAAGTAATGATTTGCGGAAGCAGGTGACCGTCTCGATTTCGATAAATAGCTTTGATTTTCTTTTCAATCCAAGCAGGCAAAAAAAATTTGATAACACAATGACTCAAATAGCGAATAACAATAAATCTACACTTGATAGCATCTTGGTTGAAAACATCTCCCAGTATGAAAAATTACGGCCGCCCTATCCCATTACTATTACCGTTGATGATTTGGTTAGAAAAAATTATAAAAATCGTCAAGCGTTAAAAACTGTAAATTCGTTTTTCATTTATCGTAAGGCTATGGTGAAGCAGAATGAAATAGAAACAAATAAATGTGATATGCCAAAATTATCCAAGATTGCTTCTATATTTTGGAAAAAAGAACCAGATCATGTCAAGGATGAGTACAAACGACTAGCCAAAGATGCTCAAAATCTTTTCGCAAAGCAAATAAACTTACAATCTGAAAGAAGGCCTTCTATCTCAACGATAAATCCAAATAACAATAAAAGAATACCAGTAGATGCGCGTCAGTCTTTTCGTCAAACCATAAGATATGATACAATTCAAAATAATCTTATTCGCAATCCAAACATTAATAACGATAATAACAATCAGCTTACATTCGAACAATTCTTTGCTAATCGTGTTGACCAAATATTGCATGACAAAATTGAACAGTTCATGCTTAATTTTGTCTCACAACATAAATTACCATAACGATAAGAATACAAATTAATCCTACTTTTGAATATTTATTCTTTTAAGTAAATATGTAAAATAATAAACTTATTTATTGGGTAAATGAACAATCTATGTAATTTCTAGAACAAATTACCACCTAGTTGATATAGCTATCGTTTTCCGCAAAATCTGTAAAAATAAAATTTTGGGAAAAAGCAATGATCTAGAAATACATTGTTAATATATTTAACGAAAAATAATCTGTTTTCTATATAGGCATGCGCTCGAAAATTTGATTACCAAATGTGCTTTAGCGACAAGCTCGCTTATAACGCAGTAAATATAATTATCAAGTATTTGTCTTCTAAAACACTTAATATAACTTTTTCATTAGATTAATTAATTAGTCGAATTATCCCTGCGTCACAGAGCCGTCGCTTTATGTGATTAATTAATTGCTTTTGTTGACATATTTCCGTAAGATATTTATCTACATGCATTCTAAAATCAAATTCAATACTTGTAGACCCTCATTACTGCCAAAAAAGAAACGACAAGAAATATCATATTAATTTTTTAATGATGCTTCAGAGTATAAAAAAATTTGTTGCTAAATTTATTAAATAATCAAACTTTGAATTAAAATAATTTGATACAAAAGATATAATAAAGAATAGCAAATAAAATTCCATATTGAATCAATATTTCAATATTATACATGTAATATTGCAGCATAACCAATATTCCTTTTTTATATGATTAATTCATTTAAATAATATAAGAATACACTATTTTTTTTTAGCATCTAATCTTCTAATATAAAATGTTTAATAGTTTAAACTTGTACTTTATTATAAAATAAAAATTATCTGGATTACAACACAGAATATAAAGTTTTAACATATTTCTAGGATAATGTTATTTAATGGAAATTATGCCCTACATATAACTAATACGGTTAAAAATAGAAAACCGAACATAATTAATTAGCACCCACTCATAAATTTTTGTTACGAATGGTACAAAGATTTCGGTAGATATCCAAATAAAGAAATATTTTATCTATCACTATTACATGCACAATGCAATGTATTAGTATTAGATTGCAAGACGCAAGTATCTTTAATCAAAATCCGATGTTTCATTATACAATAAATTAAGTACATGTTTTTCTTTATACTTTAATTAGTTAACAAGAAAAACTATAATAATTACAAAACTCAAAACTTTATTATTTTTCATAATGAAGCATACAAAGATATACACTGAAAAGTGGATGCCTGCTTGGCCTGGAACAAAGAAAATTACGGAATATATAGAGCGTCGATTACATGGAATCATTCACCTAATAAGGTCATTTCATAATTCTTTGTAACGATTTTAAGCTTATTCTCTAATTCTTCTATTTTTGATTCTAATTTTATGATCTCGTTCTTACTACAAGTGCATTGTTTGGGGTTTTCAACAGTGGGAGTGTGTAACGGTAAGGAAAGAGAAAAAAAATTATCTCTATTATAATCGTAAGGAAAATTTGATGACAATATTGGAGATAGGATAGAATATGAATTTTCTCTTTGATTTTCTTCGATTTGATGGGGAGGGAAAAAATCTACATATTCTAATTGTGGAAATAAGTCTAATGAAGAATTTGATAATTGTTCTTTTTCATTATTCCTATCCTTGTTTTTAAATGCAAGGTTCGTATCTACAAAATAATCTTCGTATTCTGATCTATTTTGATTAGGATTTGTACCATGCAAAGAGGAATTGGATGATGTTGTTAATTCATCCGTATCCTTTTCTTTTCCTAGCACGTAATAGCACTCAAATTGATTTGTTGTCTCCTTTCCATAATCAATATTAATATGATATTTGTTTTTACATAGTTTCTTATATATTTCACTTGCTTCCGCAGAAATATAACGATAGGTTTTTTGCACGCTTTCTGGCTCTTTATTCCAAGCCGATTTTGCCATCGACGAAAGCTGTGGTTGCGTGAAAACTGGATGGTTTACTCTTTGAAGTTCTTTACAAAAGGCCATTCGATAAGCAATAAAGGCATTTGGAATTCTCGAAGTTTTACCGGAGCTTTCCAATCTTGAAATCGCTTTTTGGACAAGATTCAATGCTGATATTTCAGGTGGGAATTTTGGGACAATTGATGAAGCATTGAAACTTTTATACATCAATGATTTATTATTTTTCTTCATGACTTTTAATTTTTCTGATAATTTTCTGTGAGTTTACTGAAAAATGATATTTTTGATGAAGTATAGTGAAAGACATATGCAAACCATAAGCAACTGTCATATTTATACATTTAAAATACCGTGAAAAATGCATCAAATCAAGTGAAACAAAGGCTTTCTTCTAGTGCATAATGTGATATATTCAATATCCGAGATCCAAAAATAGTCTTTTCCATTCTACACAGAAATTTGACTAGGACTCCTATTGTTTTGGATATTAAAGCAAAGATTATCGACAAAAACGTATTTCTAAAGAAAAAAAAAGATTTCCATCAATTACTTTTCCTTTTTCGTCTGCTGATTTTAATTGTAATTACCAAAGTTAACACACAATTATTATATATGTGATCTATTATTAGCTTGTTTTAAATCAAGCAAATAAACTTACACAGCTAGTTAGTCTTGTTTAAATTAAGTAAATAAAGTTTACGCAGCTAATCAGTCTTTTGTCTTGACCTTACCGTTACGCGCTAATTTTTGAAATTAATTATCGTTTATCACTACATTTTTTTATTTATAGAAAACAAAAAACAACAAACACCAAATACATGTACATTCGTATAAATAGAAATTCCTTTTTGGAATTATTTTGTGCAACGACGATTTTTAACCTCATCAGTTTATTGGCCAATCAGAAAAAAGATACAAAAATAGCTACTATAGTTGTTGACATATAGATGACTATTTTATGACCAAAATACTATGTGTAAAGTAATTAACGCGCGCCATACCTTATTCTAAGTTCTAGAAATAATAAATGTGAAGCAGTTTTTACTGTAATAAAGTCTATGAACGTCGAATATAAGCGAACATTTATGGAGATATTGCACGACACGCTAGTCCAAATGTAAATGCAGTTCGGATGAAATTAATAAGAATTCAGCAACTGAAATGATAACGAACTGTTACTATATTTTGACAATGCTTAGAGGAAGCATACCTGTATTTTGAAAATAAACTAAAGTTTTTGTTTTTTGTATCGCTGTATGACACTGCGTAAATTAGAAATTAAATTGCTTAATGTTATTCCTTATCAAACTAATTTCTTTTGCAAATGTATATTTTGGTGCAACTTTTTCAAATTTTATTTTGAATAATGTTTGAAGCTAGGGCATACAATTTTTAGATGGCGAGACAGGTGATAATTTATCAGGTAGTAAATAATTTATCTTCATTCATGTGGCTTGATATTCTGTGCCAGCGGACGGTATGACACTGATTGCGTACGGTATGGTCACGATATCTAACGTAAACTTGATTGTTGCTTTACCGTTACTTGTCATACGAATAACAATATAATGTTAACCATACCATAGCTAGTAACCGAGATCTGTGCACGATCATTCTGTAAGAGATCTCTATAATGAAAACATATCACACATACCCCTTAAGTAGAAAACTTTACAGGATAGGCAATTATACAGTGCTACCGATGTACAGTACATGTAAATATTCCTGTATGCAGTGTTGTACAAGGGGAATTGCTATAATTACATTGGCTGAATTGACTAAAGTTTTTAGCAAGAGATTCTTATTTACATGTACAAACTTTCTCGACAGAATTAATTACTGCAACAGATTAGGATAAAACCAGATTAAACGAAACCTGAACCATTTTAAGATTAAGAAGCTTGGACCTTTTTTGAGGGCTGAAAAAGTTACATTCATACAGCTTGGAGTATAGAAAAACTGTATTAAACTCTAATTCTCGTTTTTTATAATATTTTTTTGGTAGTACAAATATTTTTAAATTTAAAACTAATACTGCAAATAAAATTTAAATACTCAAAGCTATTATTTTAATAGCGTAAATTTTTAAAGAAATCACAATATTTATTCATTTTGCTGAAAATAATTAATTTTATTAAAAATGAGTGTGTTAATTAAGTAGTTTATTTGATAATATACGAGAATCAAAGACGCTAAATGACTGGCCTTTTGAAATATAATACCACGTTGTTTCAACAGTTATAAAAGAACAATTCCCGTCAGAATTTCGATACTTTATAATTGCAAGTGACTAGCTTACGCGTATAACCAGAATATTCTATGCCGTGTTATCAACGCAGCAAACTAGCAAAACGTTCATTATTGAAACTTTATTCCATTGTTTTTAGCCACTTAAATTTAAGAAAAAAACAAAAACTGTCTTTATGTGGTATGACTTAATGCCAAGATCAAATCGGCCGTATAAAAGAAATTTAACCAAAAAAAAGGTCCGAATTTGACTTTTTTAGAAAAAATATTCTGTTAATTTCGTCAATGTTTCAAAGGATTTGAAACTGACAAAGAAAATTTCTCCTTTATTTTTGTCATTGTCATAAGCAAGCCACTTTTTTGTGTGCATATTTCTTACACAACTATGGCAACAAAGACAAAAAATTTTGATGTTGTGTCCGGTTGTTGCAAATCGACATCAGATTCGTTATGTGTAATAACTATGCGAGTGCATTCCTTCAATTCCCCAATCTGATGATGATTGAACCTGAAAAATCTGGAAAAGGGTTACATACATACAGCTTTGAATATAGAATTCTGAATTACACTGACCTAAACATCCTAATTCTCCGGGGGGGGTTTTTTTTTGGTAATACAAATATTTTTAGGCTTAAAACTAATACTGCAAATACCCATCCGTGTAAATTTAAATCCTCAATGCTATTATTTTAATAGCATTGAAATTGTCATTTTGCTGAAATGTATTAATTTGATTAAAAATGGGTGTGACTAAAAATTAAGTAGTTTATACGATAATATACGAGAATCATAAAGGATTACCTTTTGAAATAAATACCATGTCGTTTCAACAGTTATAAAAAATAATTTTTTTTTCAGAATTTCGATTCTTTATAATCACAAGCGACTAGCTTACGCGTATAGCCAGAATATTCTATGCTACATTATCAACGCAGCAAGCTAGCAAAAATGTTCATTATTAAAACTTAATTCTATTATTTTAAGTCAGTTAAATTAAAGAAACAAAACAAAAAATGTCTTTATGTGTAATGACTTAATGCCAAGATTAAGTCGGCCGTATAAAGAAATTTGACCAAAAAAAAAAAAGCGGCCGAATTAGACTTTTTAGAAAAAATATTCTGTTAATTTCGTCAATGTTTCAACTGACAACGTGAGAAAATTTCCTCCTTTACTTTGTCATTGTCATAAGCAAGCCACTTTTTGTGTGCATATTTCTTACACAACTGTGGCAACAAAGACAAAAAATTTTCTAATCATTCAAATTTTGATGCATCCGATTGTTGCGAATTGACATCAGAGTAATAATTATGCGGGTGCAACACACTGTACATTCCTTTAATTCCCGATTTGATTAACTGATGATGATCTGTATTGCATGATGAATTTTTTTTCTCAATAGAACAAAAGAGAGAGATTGTGTTACGTTTATAGTCAAGAGAATATTGGTACTTTGAGCATTGTTTTATGTGGTTAGAAAGTCGTTCTTTCTTCCCTTTGCTACGTGTGAATATATTCATCAATAATATCATTTCTTTTGAAAACGATCATATTGTTGATGTTTTTGATGACGAGTATCACAATATCAAACAGTACCAGTTAACGGTAAACGGTAAATACGTGCAAGCGAAAATATACTTTTGCTGCTGACTTGACCCAGTCAAATGAATAAAAAAAACAATGAAAATTCTTGAATTATGCTGAAATTCCACTCTAAACTCATGTGAATGAATATTGAAAAATTTGATCAATTACCTTTGATGCTAAAGTTGCATAACCGAAGTTTCAGCTCTAAACAATGCACAAGCCACGTAATCGGAATTATGCCAGACTCGTATCGCCAAAATTCAATTAAAATTTTCTTTTTGCGTAATCATTTTATTGTCATTGTTAACGTAACATCGAAACGTCGGGCAAATATTGTGTGTCTATTCTTAAATTTCGCTTGGCATTAATCTTGAAACCATTCCCAGAGACTGGGATTACCACATTCTAGCCTCATGTCCAAAAATGGAATGAAATGCATCGCATTAAATGTGAGTAACAAATATGTATCGTAAAAGAAATGCAAAAGGTATAAAGACGGGTGGCTCAAGCCAGTTTTTGCAAGTTACTCCGAGATTCAGTAATTTATTCGATTAAATATAGCAACGAATTTTAATCAGAAAAATCTTTTTCCCTAGAAACAATCATCATGGATTATCTTTACAGAAGTCAAAAAAGTCGTAATTTACCAGCCAACAATAATTCGCACAAAAAAATGGGACCCATCCAACGAGTGATCCCACGATTTCCCCCCGTTTTAACTGCCGAATCAATACTTGATAAAGCGATTTGGAAACTGAAAAATTTTAGACAGGGTTCAAGAGTACCTAACGCATTTATTGCCTATAGGATGGCTGTTTGTCATGAGCTTAAATTGTTAAATCGTCGTGCCATGACTCAGCCACAACTCTCTTCGATGGCGAAAGCCTCTTGGGCTGAAGAGCCAGAATATGTCCGAAAAGAATATCAACGTATTTCATCGGAAGCACGAGAGTTATACAGAAATATATATCAGATATACATGCCATCTGCTGATTTAGAGAAAAAAAATCAATCTTCGAATTCTCCTATTAGTCAAAATAGTATGCAGAATAATCAACAAGAAGATAGCATTAAAGAAGGAAGCGCAATTTGGCCATCTTATGAAAATTCAGAAATCGATATCACATACTTAAACTCATCGCCTGACATGTATTATAACGATGACCGATTCCAAGAAGAAACAATAAATTCTACAAATCAGATCAGTCGTTTACAAAATCTCGGGAGCTATACATTTCAGGATTCCCAATCTTTTTCCACTTCACCCACCTCAGAGAATTTTATCATTTCTTCACAAACAGTTAATGACGTTCATGCAGAATTCGAGATAGAAGGTTCCGTTCATAATTCTCCAACCATGTTTAATTATTGTCTAAACGATCCTTTTAATGAATCTCAAACGAATTTTCAATTACAACCGAATTTTGAGTCTCAGATAAATTTTGAATTACAAGCACAAAATTTTCCTCAGCATTCGGAGTTTGTTAGTTGCAAGCAATGTGACGAATATAAACAAACATTGATTTCAATGCAAAATCGACTTGAATATTTGGAACAGAAGTTAGCAAACTTAACGAACCCATTCGAAGTGAACTATTGAAAGATCTAAACGAGCTTAATCCTTTACATATTTTTTAATAAGATTACAACTCGTCATATCAATGATTCGGGATTTGCTTAAACAATAAATTTTATTACCAAGAACATGAAAATAAACTAACAATATAGCATAAATTCACTCACTAAATTAAAGAATTACTTAGTATAATTTTATGAAACTTTAAATACACAGAATCAATCAATTTTAAAACTTATCATTATGGGCTGCCTCACTTAGAAATTTTATGATCAAATATTTTATTATTGATGTTAATTTTAAGAAAACCGACCTTCTTTAAGTTTTAATTTTACACAACGCATATAGAAATTTGCCGAAAAACGGAAAGATATTACCGAAAGAATGAGAGGATATACATTATTAAGATAGATCAAATTTATATTTCTTCGTTAAAAAGTCACTACACACCCTTTTACGTTGCATAATCATAGAGGTCTCGAACGCAGTACGCATCCGATTTTTTTTTTACCGTGCAGAAAATGTATTATACATGTATTTTGTAAAAAGCTTATCACAAATGTAATATAAGAAAATTATCTGTTCTGTTTATATTAGAGATTACAATTTTATCCTAAATCGAAGTGTAATAAATTAAATAAATTTTATTTCAATTTATAACGAACAACGGGGCATGCATCTACTTTGTCTACTTTGCATATTACAAATAACGTGACTTCAAATAGCTAATGGGGCAATCAAGCAATTCGTCCGATCTTTAGACATGAAACGCCATTTTATCTCATACATATATAATAATAACGGTGACGATAATAATGCATTAAGCTTCATCATAGTGCTTAAATTTGCATGCTATATAATTATATGTAAGATAATCCCTTGATTGTTTTCAATACTGCATTGTACAATTAAAGATTCAAAATTATCGGAATGATCCCCCTTTAATTAAGAGGAATATGTTCATGCTAATATTTTTATGCACCTGTGAAGACGAGTGTACGAAAAAAAATTTTTTTGACTTAACAACAATATTTTGATAAGGTTATGATAGTCTGGTCTCAGGTATTCGAATCGTCATGTTTCTGATTTGAGAAACAAAAGTACGCATCAAACGAACGATACGCAGATTGCATTTAACTTGCGTTCCTTGAAAAATTTCCTTTTCCGTTGAGCTAAAAAACTGTTTGCGGCATGCTTCGAAGCACATAGCATGCATGTTGTTATACGGTGAATCGCTATTGGTTAAAAACTTGGTAATTCATAAAAAATATACATGCAAATAATACTTTAATCTCGCGATTGTGGTTTCGCTATTAAAGAATCAATAAATAATGCAATTGTACATAACGATAATCTATTCCACCTGTGGATTGTGAATACAATATCAAGAAAATGTGTATACATGAAGTTTTGTGAGTATCCGTATGCAAGCTGCAATTATGAACACAAATTCAAAATAGTTTGTTCGTTATGAATAAAAAAAGGGAAATGTATTTAAAGAATGCTATACTCAAAAAGAATTAAACTGATCTCATGCGCGCCCAAACGAAAATACGGAAAGAAAAAGTCACTATATTTAGTCAAGAGTCACAAAATTGTTATTAGTGTTTCGGAGAACCCGTACTTTCCTAGTTCAAGAATTAAAATTTTTGTTGTGTAATAAGAAAAATTTCACACAGAATTCAAACTTTCTGGTCTTAAGATTTATTACGTAGCTACAAAAAAATTATAAATCGACATTTTTTCAAGTTCATGCATTATGAACATCAAAAAACATCATAAATTAAAATCATCTTTATCAACGTGCTTACGTGCGCATTCTACTAACGTAAAAATGACTCCTTAATATAGCAAAAAATAATAGCATAGGATTTTCCCGCGAAAAATGGCAAAAAGTTTCTTACAATTTTGGACAATTGATGACGATGATCTTATTGATAGTCGATTACCGAGCATAATCCGCATGTACATACAGATGACGATACGATAAGGCGCCTCGCCTGTTGACTTTTCTTCCCCTGGTTTTAAACTTTTACTTTGGAAATCATATGTTTACGGTGTGCTTGGCAATTACGATGGTTTTTTCTTTGTTAGAATTTATGATGTGTAACACATTTAACTTCAATTTCAATATTTGCATGCACCGTAGTATATTTATTTGGGGCTAGTTTACTATATTTTCATCGAGATACTTACGTAACCTGAATTTTTTATATATACATATATATTTTGGTACAGGAATTTTATTTTTGAAGCCCTTTTTATATTAGTGATTTTTTTTTGATACCTCCCGTGTAAACAATTTTATATGAAAATTCCAGAAAATTCATTGTGTAATATTTTGTGGATTCTATTGTATCATTTCATGTTACATTCATCACCATTGTTTCGCTGAAAGGAGAAACCTCTGAAATATTTATATTCGCGAATCAGGCTGAGTGTTTCCTTTTTTGTGGGATTGTATAAGGTGATGCCGGCTGAATAATTGGTGAACATTATTATCATTAATAAATTCGAAATTATTATTTAAGAAATATATATGGTAATCGTAGCAGCGTATTACTTGATAAGATGCATGTACGTGTAATTAGAATTTATTTTTCAAAATCACTTTATCTAGTAATGCCATGCTTCCTATGTGCTTCTTTGAACAGGTCAAATTGGTGGCTTATTAAACTTTTTGGTTTATCAAGGCAAAACCAGATTACCTCGTTTGCCTGTAGTGGGATTGTCACACACAATGTTTTCTGACGATCCAAAAAAAAACCTGCGTAGCAAGATTTTCACCGTCCCAAAATTTTTTTGGCAAAGACCCCAACGATAGACGTTTAAATATACCTTAATCTGCCAAGAACTCTCAAATTGAGTATTATTAAATATAACGATAAATAGATCTTCAAGATAAAATCGAGACCATAACCGTAATAGGCTGAGCGTATCAAACCCATTTAAGATGACGGCTAAATAATTTGTTATCGCCAATATAAATATCCAGTATACATGTAGCAACCACAGGTAATATCGGTATTAAGATATTAGACGAGGCAGAAAATGCATACAAATGTACTGAAACCATTAATAAATAAAATACAGAATTGAATCCCCATATAATAACGGTATTTATTATATTAACCGAATTAGTGTCGCGGGCAAATTTGTGAGAAACAGGGAGACGAGACTCCGTACCGTTTCTGGACACCAAATTATATAACAGGAAAATCTACCTAACAATGCAAAAAGAGAACATAAATAACTGATTATTTTAACGTTAGCTCAAAAACGGCACAAATATGTACCAATGACGACAGCATCTGAAAGCAATGGTCATATATGGTAAGCTGTTTAATAAAAAAATTTCTGCAAGTATGCAGCTTATCGTTTGAACAGAATTACCGGATAAATTCCCACAAAATATAAATAGCGTCAGATAATACTCTGATCAATAAATCGTTGCTTTCTCAACAACCATCATTTAACGATTTTCTTTTGTCTTCTATTATGTCATTAATATAAAAGTTATATATAAAAAACAAAAGAAAACTTAGCAACGATATCTTCAAAATTTTATCTAAGCAGAGACGAAAATTATTAACGAACATATAACCATAAAAAATGCAAGCGATGCAAGCAAATACAAACAAAAAATCCATCACGAAATTAACTGAACCGGTAATACCTCGATTTCCACCGGAAGTGACGGCTTTGAATCTTCTCGAGAAAGCAATTTCAAAACTTGAAACGACTCAACAATCTTCAAGAATTCCTAACGCCTTCATAGCATATCGTATGGCTGTGTGTAAAGAGCTTCGTCTGAATAATCATCCTGTAATTACTCAACCTCAACTTTCCTCGATGGCTAAACAATCTTGGTCAAAGGAGCCAGAGCATGTACGAAAAGCATATCAGCGTATTGCTGCTGAAGCGAGAGACATTTATAAGAGACTTTGTTATATTCATCTTCCTCCTCAAGCAAGACACGAAAGTCAATTTATTGAAGAAACTTCTGAAAAAGATCATACTGTTGAGGAATCTGCTCAGGATTTACCTTCACAAGAAGTAAATAGCGTACCTATACCTTCGCAAGAAGTAAATATCGTGCCTGTGAATAACGTACCTGAATTTCCGACTGTTCCTTCTCCAACCTGGTCCAATTCTACTGTCGGAGAAGTTCAATCCTCACCCATCGCAGATTTTTCAATAATTAATGAAAGTGAATATATGACTCATGACACACAGTATACGGATCTTCCTTATCCGGTACAAGTGTCAGATGAAAATTTGTGTCACCCTTTTAATTTTCATCATCATTTGTCTCATGATTACAACTTAAATCAATTTTCAGATGAATCTTTTGCTTCGCAGTTTGTACCGACTGGATATGAATTTTTAGACTCTCAATTTTACTCAAAAGATACCACCATCGCGGCAAATTATCAAAATGCATACAGTCAGCCCGAATCAAAATGTGAAAAATGCCGAAGCACGATTGTGCAGTTAGAGAATAAAGTAGAAGAATTGGAAAGAAAGCTTTCTAACCTGACATCTTTAATTACAACAAAGCTAGCAAAAAAGGTTTAGAGCGTTAGATTATTCACTAATTTTCGATTAAAAAATACTTGTAAATAGTTAGTCTACAAAAATAAGAAAACCCAAAAAATATGTTGATTTCATTAAAAATGTAAATAACAAAAAAAATAAGATAAATTCAATTATGTTTTTTATAAAGTAATAAAATTTTGTTAAAAAAATTTAGTTATTGAGCTAGCTACATTAGCGAATTTGTTTCTTCTGGACTTTTTAACCAACTTTTCTAAAATAATTTGATAAATCGAGGTCTATTTCTATAAAGTCATAAAATTTCTTTCCTTAAAGTTAGCATGTTCTAGCATTAATAAATTTTTTCTCGGTATTCGCATTCCAATGGTCACAAAAAAGTATAGCGATAGTGATAGACGTATTTACAAATTAACGTTAACGTTAAACCCACCTAAAGCTAGCATCATATAATTTTGGTGTTTATAACGATAACGATATTCGTCCCCAAATGTTATTGATGACCTCATGCCTTGAAAATTTTTTTGGATTTAGTTAGTTTAACAGGAAAGAAATAAGCGATGGTGCTCTTATATAATCACCTGATTGAATCTCAAAACCATTTTTGAATATAATTGTCCTCAACTTGCTGGATTAGAAATTAGAATAAAAAAGATTAATGTCGAATTAAGTTATAAATATTTTATAATTAATTGAAAACATGTTGCGTAGAACGAAAACACACACATATATCGCTAGTAGCGGATGGCCAAACTTTTATATTAAATAAAACAATTGGTGATACTGTGCGAACATGTCCCATATATGGATTTGATTGTCACATAGTGGATCATAAATGTACACATAGTGAATCATAAATGCACACATAGTGGATCATTTATGAATTTGATCTTCACATAGTGAAACATATATGGCTTCATACACGAACATTTATCGTATGTTACCTAAATATCTACGTTTTGAATTTTTAGAAATTAAATACTAATTTATATAAACAAAAAAGTTTCGAATTAAAATAATAATCCTATATTGAATCGACATTGGACAAGTTCTAATATTGTAACCATAAGAAAAATGGTGTCTTTATTAAAGAATCAAGAAAGTATTAGCTTGCAGTTGTTTCTCCATATTATATTAAATCCTATAAAGTGTCGCACCTTCGTTATGATTACACCTTTTCCCCGTTATGGGACATAGGAAATTTAATAGCCACAACCTCTAAAAAATCACTTTTTTCTTTGTCCCAACGGTATGATTGTGTGAAGGGTGACTGTATATGGCGCACAATTATCTCATGCAATTTCGATAAAAGAATTCTATCCAAAGAATAAAATATAATTGGAGCTTTATCAAGTTTGCTATGCATTTCAATGCAGGAATTTTTCAGAACGTTTGTTTATATGATAACTCAATCAGTTCATTCTCTATGCATATATTATATATCCAAGCAGTTAATTATTACATTTAAATGAAATAAAAGTTGTTAAAAAACAAATTTATTGGTTCTAAACCAAGGTTATTTGTGCAGATTCAATGCATTATTGTATATATGTGCTTAATAATTTAACAAGTATTAATACGGGTGGTTGATTCCTTAACTGGTTTGATTCATGTCAAAAATTACCAAACTTGTGCCAAATCCGAATCATCTTGGGAGTCATACGAGTTTACTGAGAATAATTTTATTTATAAAAAGAAAAAATTTTGAAACATCACATAATAATAAAGGTTCAATCAACACATTATTTTTCAACTATATTCCGATATTTATATTTTAGGTTACAAAGACAAATGGTTCATTTCTTCGCAGAATCCTTGATTTTATTCTATGATCTAATATAAAAAAAAAAATGCTTAGGTTCATGTTCTGAATTTGAAGCATTAATACCGTTAAGTTTGAAAATTAGTTTGTTTGTTTTATCTAATGCACATCCATATTGAATTAGAAGAGAGAACCTATATTGATCATAAATCAAGCCTTGAAAACTTTATTCATAATGGAATTATCCGATTTTTTGTTACAGAAAATCTGGAATTTTGCATAATCAGTAAATTAACGCGTCTTTGTTTGAGCTTATTATGATACACTTTTTAGGCTGAATGATATTATTGAGGCATGGAAAGAATCATAGGAATGCATTTAATTTATCGAAGCTTCGAAAATAGCATAAATATTTCTAATTTAAGAATAAATACGCCATATTGGTTTATCAATGGGTGTTATCGCCGAAGGCCACATAAAAAATATTGGTCGCGCAAGCGTCCCGGCGGAGTTATCAAATGTCACAGCTTTAAAATGATTAAAATGGAATTTTTGGCCAAAATTATGCAGATCATGTAAATTATTTGTAAAATACATACCGATACGTATAGCGACGCATACAATATCCCCGGATAATATAATCCGATTTTATAAGTAATGTTTTTATATTATTATCTAAAATAATAGGGCAACTCTACGATCTTTCATAACTTTCATCACGGTGTATCTAGAATGTCTATTCTAAAAACTATATTAGTATAAATCCTTGGTAATAATGATTTTTTTATGCACATAGATTTATTCTTTTGGTATAAATCTGCCCGCGTATCCGATCTACTTTTGCATCTATATATAGTAAATACCGGCATCCGGGTATGTTCTACGTCATAGTTTCTAAGCCTTGTCGGCCTTAACTCCTTTTAATCTTGAGAGAAATTCGAAAAGTATTTCGGATTATCCTCCTACCAAAATTTAAAAAAAAACCATTGGCGCATAACGCCACTTTACATATTACGATATGGATGTCAATTTATACAGTATGCAAGTAATAAAATTTTATGATTTCCATATTTAATACCTTTCAATGAACGCTTAAAACTCAAAAATAGAAATTGCACAGTTTAAATCAAAAAATTGTTAATAATGGAATGTTGCGAAATTTAGAAAATACAATAACTTCACGTTTTTGGATAGCTAGTAAATTAAAATTTTGAATTTCTTTTTACAAAACAAATAGAAAATTCTTTATGCATGTGAGTGTAAAAAATGGCAAGTAAGAACGAGACGAAATTTTTAATTTGCAGAGAAGCACATAATGCATTCATTAAAATAATAAGGGACGCTACTTTTTTTTAGGACTATTTTCTCTGGTGAATTGGGATCTATATATTATTCGATTGTTGGCCGAAAATTGACGCAGGCTGGTTTGAATGAAGAACCTTATCTCTCATAACCCGTGTACAAGAACACAGTTTTGGATACACCGCAGAGCACCATAGATTTAGGGAAAACGATATAAAATCGGTGCTTGAATCTCTTCAATATTTTGTTGCTTTCAGGAACCAAATAACGTTATATAATTCGATAAATGCAAACGCTGGATACAAAAATCCAACGAATCTATCTTTTTAAAAATGCAATCATCAAATCAGAAAAACCTTGATATCAACACAATTCTTTCTATCATCCCCTATCCACCGAAAGTCACCCCTCAGGATCTAATCATGAGGGCAGGCGCAAGACTTGAAAAAAGTGGAAAAATCTCCAGAATTCCTAATGCATTTATCGCATTTCGCATGGATGTCTGTCGCGAACTTCGTGTTATTAGCGATTGCAGGATGAGTCAACCTCAACTTTCTTTAATGTGCAAGGCTTCGTGGGACAATCAACCAGAGCACGTCCGTAATGCATATCAACATATTGCAGCGTCCGCAAGAATTCTTTACAAAAGAATGATCCAGAAACGTATGCAGCAAGGAAAAAGTGGTAAAAAAGTGACATCATATGAGCAAACGCCATTTTTAGATGACGAAATGAAAGAAAGGCTTGATTCCAAAGATCAATTTGAAAATCTTTCTTTTGTAAATATGACCTCTTCCGAAATGTTCGTACAGAATATATCAAACGCAGCATCTGGTCATGCTAGTTGGATCCATCAAAATGAAAATCCAAATTCGACTATTGAAGAATCATCCAATTTAGCCAACTTTGGGCAACCTGAAATTAATTCGAATATAACTCTTCCCGTTGATTTACGAGAATCATGTTTAGAAGGAGGCCAATCTTCATATTGTGATTCTTCTTCCGGCGACATTAATTTTGTTTCGATGAATTCGGAAAATGTAATACAATCGACGAGTTTTAAATCTTTCGATAACGGAAACTATGAATTTCATTTTGATAACCCTTTTTCTTCAACTTCTAATAATTTGACTGAACCGCACCAACCGGATCAACGAGAACATCATCTAATTAACGTTTTTGTTATGAATAATAATGTTATTGAAAATTCACACGTACACGATAAATGTGATGCAGAAAACCAGGTTACCGAATTGCGCTCAAAAGTTAAATTTTTAGAACAAAAACTTGATACTTTAATGAATTTTTTAAACGAAAAAGGAATTAAGATGAACGAATGAGATTTAGAAAAAATATTCTCATTTTTATAAGGAAATTTATAAATAAGCCTATGTTCTTAAGAAATAAGTGTATTATCGATTTAGTTAAACCAATGACAATTTGTAAAATTCATGTTTCTCAATTTTGTTTACTTTTTTTATTCTTTTAAAGTTTTTTTCTCAGATCATATATTATTGATGCATAAAATCGAAAAAATTTGTCATAATAAAACCATATTTTTAATTGTTTAGCTTAATCTATTGCTCTATAGCTCTATAACTGTATGGTTGCGCCGACGCCCATAACAATTTATCATTGCACTGATTAAGATTTACATATCGATATAAGGTAGTGCACGTTTTCAATGTACATGTATATCTACATGTATGATTTGCGCTTCTCATCTCATTATAAATGCTATAGAGATTGATGCTTATCCAAATACTGTGATTGGTTTTGTATATTAATTATTATTCATTCATTTTTTTCTTAATGAATTTATTCTCTGTTTTTCCTATAAATAAATCTTGATGAAAAGCATTCCAATTTATCTATAATGTCGCACCTGGGAATTATATCTCATACTTATTGAATCGCTATTTTTAATCTTATCACCTTTCAATAAAATTGCTTTAACTTC